TATTTTAAGACGATTCCAACTATTTTTGCAATCATATTATCTCAAACATTATTCGATTTTATATTTATATAGTTATATTTAAATATAGTTATAGTTATATTATAGATATTTTTATTAAGCATTCCGTGATTCAATAGAAAAAAAATCATTACTAACGAATAAAGCAAGTTAGGCATCTTTGTAGTTGTAAAGTCCGGTTTTTAGCAGACAGGAGGGCGAGGTCACTGACCTACATGTTGCGTGATTCAGACGAAGAGGGCTATTTTTCTGAAGCTATACATTGTTTAGAATTAAATGATTTTCAGCAGTACATAGATTTTTATAATAAGAATTGCAACGATAGTTTGCACCTCTTCCACACCAATATTCGCAGCTATAGCAAAAACTTAGATGAATTGTTGATTTGTTTAGATCAATTGATAAATGACCTAGATGTAATTGTTTTAACTGAGTGCTGGTTGGGGGAGAGTGGTGGGGGAGCCGCTCTGGAGGGCTTCGACTTGTACTGTACTGAAACTCAGCGCAATCAAAACGACGGAGTTGTTGTATACATTAACAGACGACTATCAGCTACGTGCAATCAAATAACCTTGGGAGATGTTTATGGACTTGCGTTGGATTTCACGCACTGCGGAAAGCCTTTCCATTTGCTAGCCATTTACCGAACCTTCGACAGTGATCCAATTAATCTCATTGGTGAACTGGAGAGATACATGAATGCATTAAATAGAAATCAAACTTGTATATTCCTTGGTGATATTAATATAGACATTCTTCGAATAAATGAAACCTCAGAACTATATTTAGATGTATTTTTGGGGATGGGCTTCTTGCAGTGTGTTGATAAGCCGACGCGAGTAACTAACAACACAGCAAGCTGTCTGGATCACATTTTTATTAAACACAACAACATTTCTCAGGTCAAATCAGCTGTGATCCAGACGGCTGTGACAGATCACTACAGCACTGGTCTGACTATTTCCTCAAACACACCACACACTAACACTTCTCACACTGACACAGTGCCTCACACGTACCTGGACCATATACTACTGTCACATTACCTCACTAACTCCAACTGGGACCCCATTGTTCAATGTGATGATGACATAAATTTTTGTTCTAATTATTTTAATAGAATTGTTATTAATTCAGTGAAATCCGCTACTAAAACCATTATTAATAAATCAACTAGAGCTAAAAAACTCAAACCATGGATTTCCATAGAACTGATTAAACAAATAAGAGTGAGAGATAAATTAAGTAAAAGAGTTAAAAAACAACCCTTTAATGTTGAGCTTATAAATTTTTATAAAGAATTTAAACAAAACCTTAGTGAACAACTGAAGCAAACTAAACAAAATTATTACCGGCAAAAATTAAACGAAGCCTCTAATAACCCTAAGCTGTTTTGGAGATTAGTCAATGAACTGGCCGGCAGAATAAATAAAAAAGATTCGTTTCCAATAGATAAATTTACATCAAACACTCAGTTATCTACAACATTGTATAAACAAGTCGCAGATGATTTCAATATTTTTTTCTCTAACGTCGGTAGCTCACTGGCCAGTAAACTAGACCCAAGTGGGGCCCTATTGGTTGACGACTGTGACTATCAACTCGACACGACGTTTACGCTTCAACCGATCACTGCACATGACTTACAACGCTACGTCTGCGGCCTGCGGGGTGGTTCCGCGCCTGGTTACGATGGTATATCGGCCGATGTCCTTAAAGCAAACTTTCATATCCTCTGTTTTCCACTTTTACACATTGTTAATTTAAGCATAACTTCAGGAGCTTTTCCTGATTGTTACAAATTGGCTAAAGTCTTTCCATTATATAAATCCAACAAAATCACTAATAAAAACAATTTTCGCCCAATCTCATTGTTGAGTATTTTTACTAAGATAATTGAAAAGGCTGTCAAAGATCAGTTGGTTGCTTACCTTCATTCTAATAACATTCTCAGTGAGCATCAGTACGGTTTCCGTCACGACAAAAATATTTCAGATATTCTTTTTGATGTAAACAAAGAGTTGTACGATACCATTTCCAACAAAAAACGTTCTATATTAATATTTCTTGACCTTAAAAAAGCATTTGATTCTGTAGATCGTTTAAAACTTCTCAACAAGTTAAAAACAATTGGAGTTTGCGGCAGTGCTTTGGAATGGTTTAAGAGTTATCTTTCAAACAGAGCTCAATTTGTTACAATTTGTGGTACAGACAGTGATCCTATGCCTGTCGATTATGGGGTGGTCCAGGGTAGTAATTTAGGGCCTATTCTTTTCTTAATATATATTAATAATATATCGAGAATCAATATGTTTGGAAAGTTATTTTTGTTTGCTGACGATACACTAATTTTCCTGGAGGGGAAGTCGTGGCCCGAGGTGCGAGAAAAAGCGCAACATGATCTAATGGTTATAAAAAAATGGTTAGACCAAAATATTCTTTCCCTAAACATATCAAAAACAAAATTTATGCCTATTTCTATTAGTAAAACCACAGATTATAATTTACAAAACCTAACAATTCATTCTTGTAGTGATTTCCTTAACTTGTCTTGTAATTGCGAAGCTATTGAAGAGGTAGCTTCATATAAATACTTGGGAGTAATTTTCGACCGTCGGCTGAAGTGGGCTGAACATATTCAAAGTGTAAGGAGTAAGGTCAGGAAATACATGTTTGCCTTTAGACAAATGAATGGAATTCTAACCTTAAAAGAAATTAAAATTGCCTACTTTGCTTACGTCCAATCTTTGCTCTCATTTGGGATTATAGCCTGGGGAGGATGTTTTAAAAGTTTGCTGGAACCTCTAAATATTGCTCATAGGTCACTTTTAAAGATTGGTTTTGGTAAATCTAAACGATTTCCGTCTGACGCCCTATTTAAGGAAACATCAATTCTTACAGTTCGCAAACTATATATCAAATGTTTACTAATTAACATTTTCAAGAATTGCACTAGAATATTTAATGAAACCTCACATTCTCATAACACAAGATACTCATCTCAAGTCCACATTACTTCACTTCAGGTATACAACACTTTTTCAACAACAAATTCTTTTTATATATCTCACATAGTGTTTCGAAATTTTTGTAAATACTATTCTGAATTAAATTTATTTGACGCCACATCTATTGTCTCTTTTAAACGTCTTGTTAAAGAATGGCTACTTAATTTAAATACGGACGAAGCTGATCTTATTATTACTTCATCTTACCGGCGCGACGGGATCGGCCCGCGACCTTTGACTTGACCATTGACTTGACTCACTTGATCATTGACTTGACTTTGACCTCGACATTGACAGCACACCCTAGCCGCTCTCTCTCCGACGCTTATATTGATATTTATTGCATGTTCTTTACTATTGCATGTTCTTTTCGTGTAGAGTACTGTCACTTATTACATAACTCAGTCAGTATTACTTAACTGCTGAAATTCAATTAATTTTTCATTTAATTTTACTTTTCATTTAATTTTATTTTTCACTCATACAAAATAATAAAACTAAATTGCGCCCCTTTAACTTCATAATCTTTATAGCAACTTAGCAGACGCACAGGCACAGCCTATGTCTGCTAATTCCAGAACTAATTAGATAGGAACAACCTTTTACGCATGTATATAGTTAATTAGTTATAGTTAGTTAGTTTAGTTTTGCATAAAGAACTTTTTTCTTTTGTACATTTGGTTGTGTAATTTTTATATATGTGGTGGAATAAATTCATAATTCATTCATTCATTCATTCATTCATTCAATAGTTTTAACTATTTAACTCATCAAAAATGTCAGTGAATAATTTAATAATCCATCATTTTCCATTTTAAAACGCTTCATTTCTACTTTCTCCCCCTATACCTATGTATATGGAGAAAGTGTTGTTTTCGTCAAAATTTTCGAGTTAGAGTTTTGAGTGGATATATTCGTTTTGGGTCCCCCTGGACCCAAAAAAGTGGTTTTCGAAGTGATGTCTGTGTGTGTGTGTGTCTGTGTGTGTGTCTGTGTGTCTGGATGTGTACCGAGCTAGAGACTACACCTGTGGTCCGATTTAATGAAATTTGGTATGTAGGTTCTAATCCATGGTATCTCCAGGTGTTTTTTTTCATTTTTTTGAAATTTTGATTTTTAATGGGGTTTTTCCCATAAAAAACCGGAAAAATCAAATTTTCTCAAAAATGGCCCGAACGATTTTGATAAAAATTTAGTATGTTATAGTCCTTTAAATTCTGATCAAAATTGTACTAATCCCAATTCCGTATATTTACTCTCACCGCTTACACATGATAAAGGTTGTTGACAAACTTATGGGAGAAAGTACGTGTCAGAATGCTGATACCGTTTATTTATCACTGTGTATCTTAAACTCGCCTGGGAATGGAATCGCCTCCGATCGAAAATTTGCAGCAGTGTCGCTTACGACTGTATATACAATATACAACTATGTCATTAAACAGTCCGGGAGTCTCCAGTGGTCCACAAACCACTGTCGTCAGGCCACATGACTACTTGCCTGTGTAACAATAAACTATGTCCCATTGGTATCTGAGAAGTGCTATACGTTGCTGTGATTCAACCTGTATCCAGCATAAGTCCCTTATACTTTTATCAATGCTACAAGAAAAAAATGCAAATACAAAAATATGTAAACCGTATATTTTATATTTATTTTACTCTATTGGGGTCCGTAAAATTCTCTTCAGCTCTTGGAGGGGTTGGGTGGCCATAATGCTCCCCTATAAATTCACCATCCTTTGGTATCAGCTTAAGATGGGTTCAAGGTGTGTTCCTGTCCGGTATGTAGACTAAAAATATTTTATTTCTTATTTTTAGCTTGTTAAATCAAAGATTTATTTGTACTTTGTTATTTTAAAGAAAAAATTAAGTACATACTGTAACATTTACCCCAAAATAAGAGTGAAGCATTGAGTCGAAACCATTGTAGGTGATAAAACTCTTAACTGCAATCAACTGTTTCTTTTTCAGTGGACGGACAGTCAGGGGCAGGATGTCCGGAGAGGAACGGTAGATTCGCCGTCCCGAGCCAGTGTGATGCCTATATTGAATGTGTAGACGGAGTTCCTGAACAGAAGTTGTGTCCGGACGGACTTCTGTTCAATTCCAACGCAAAGTTCTTTGCATATCCTTGCCAATATCCTTCTGAGGTCGACTGCGCTGGGAGATCTGCAGTGCGTAAGTATCAAAAAGAAATGTCAAAATGTTGGGTATTAGAATTTTTGAAAAATTGTGATGATAATTTTAATTGTAGACTTTTCCTTATCTTCTTGATTAGGATTGCATATGGGTAATATCTCTTCTCACTTTTCTACAATATACATTTCTCGTATTTGTAAGGTTTTCAATATATTTTTTTGTAAATCAAAGAGGTAATATTACCTGATATCACCTTTATTATCCACGCTTAGTCCTTGATTGGATTACGCAGTTCTGGCAATCCACCAATGTATGTCAAATACCTGTTCCGGAAGTGCAGCAAAACAAATTTAGCATCTTAGTATCCTGAGTGTATACTACATAACTTACTTTATAAACTTTTAAAAACGTTGTTCATTTAAATTTCAAAGATACATTTCAAAAAGTACCTACATTCCATGATTAATAGATACAATTTTAAAACTTGTATAGAGCCCGCCCAGGCCACAGAGCAATGTCCGCATCAGTTTGGATACTACAGACTCGGCGACGCGCAGAACTGTGGCCAATTTATGATCTGCGCGAGCGGCGTGGGTCATGTGTTCGACTGTCCGGACGGGCTAGCCTTCAACGAGTACAGCCTTCGCTGCGACTGGGCTGATCAAGTGGATAATTGTGATGCAGAGGGTAAGTTTGTTTGATAATATGAAAACGTATCATGAAGAAGTTTTAAAGGAACAGAGATTGCCAAGTCCTGAAAATAATCACAGGTGTTGTGCCATAGACACCTGCTTCATATGAGTCTGTCCGAAATAAAGGGAACTAAAATGTCTCAGGACAGGTCATTCCAGAGATGATGTACCAGAGGATTTTTTTAGAATTTTTCAAAGATGTTTTGCAAATAGCTTAGATGATTTTTATTTAGAACATCCCAGAGCATTTGTTTTTAATATCCCAGAGGATCTAGAACTATAAATATTAATATTGATTTTCCTAGAGAGCCGTGACCTATGAATTATTTAATTTAGAAATAAACTTAGTAAATCTACACTAAGATCTAGATGGGGTGATCACCTTATATTTATATTTTTCTCTGTTGCAGCATTCTTGGGATTCTCTTGTCCCCAGAACGATCCCAACACAATCTTCGCCAAAGAAGGTTACCGATTCTTCCGCAGCCCCGCTGACTGTCAGAAGTACTTCATCTGTATAGACGGACGGCCAAGGAGATTCAGCTGTGGTGAAGGATACGCCTTCAATGAACTTATCAGCAGCTGCGACGGAGTGGAGAACGTGACAGGATGGTGAGTCATTAGTAAATGCTTTAGTCGTGTGAGTTGCTATCCTAGTGGATAGTGTCTTGGACTTCGGTGCAAGAGGGACGGGTTCAATTCCCAGCACACACACAAATAATATGGGTTTGGACTGATGGCCCTACAAAGGTCTGTGTACCTCCAAGGGTGCATTACCCTTAAAAATGCCACAGGCGTGGATAACAAGAAAAAAATTACTCAAGAAACATGTTTGATTTTGTCGTGGATAAAAAGTAATCCCAACAGTTTCCACTTTCCATAACCGTTTAGAGATGTAAAAAACATCTATAAATTTAAGATCCAAAATAAAAATGACTTTAGAACATTTTTTTGTGGTCGTCCTTTAAACATTAAGGTTTTTGTTTGTAAGAAAGAAATAAACCAAAATATTTTTATCTGTTACAGTGGATTTCCTCAGCAGAAACGACAAGTTGAAACGCAGAGACTTGATTTATTTGACCGAAATCAGCTGACGTAGAAAATGAGATTGCCGTCAAAGGAAGTTAAGGTTAAGTCATAGTCTTTACTGAAGTTTTAAAATTGAAATACTGAAGTTGAAATATTCCCAACTCTAATTGATATTATTTTTCCTTGTACAAAGAATCCTTAAAACATAAAATCTGACGGTTTTGTCCAAAATACACCAAATTAGTTTACCAAATAGAATGTCATGTCATTGATTGACTGAAAACATGTTACGTTTCACCTTTTAGAAGTCTGCAAGAATCAGTGGATAGTGCAAAAATATATTTGCCATGCATTAGGTGAGAAACCGATACATTTGAAAATTGTTTATAACAATATTTTACCATAATTAGCAAAAATACAATTAATTGTTAGAAAAACTTGGATTTTTATTTTCCTTTCAACCACGACCCAAAGTTGTCAATCATAAATAATAAACCCCTGTGTAGCCAAAGAAAATGCCATATTTAACAAATAGTATACTTATTACTTAGTAACTAAGGCCTTAAGTGGCATTTTTTGGCCTGAGCTGGGAAAATTAACGAGTGTCGGCTAAATTTTTTTTAATGGGGTGATGAACTATATTTTTGTCATACTGCATCTTTCCCAAAGATAAATATAACTTAAAGTTTGTACATTGATTACCTTTAAAATTTACCTTCATAATGGTTCCTTCTTTTTTTTCGCTATTATGTACAAACTGATGTCGCTGCTATGAGATATATTGCTCAATCATCACAAAGTAAATTAATATTTACCTAAAAAATTCTTTTGTACCTTTACTTTACTATTATGTTGATAAAGGGGGATATTTGTTGTGAAAAATACAATGAAACATTAGAAAAAAACATATTTGCCATAAAAATATGTTTTACAAATACGTTGGTAAGTCAGTAATTAAAGCAATTAGGACACAGCTGCCTACTTAACAAATAATGAGCCACAGATTAACGTCAGCACCAGTTCTGGTTATTGTCGTCAATTCAGAATATAGTAAAAACAAATTTTCATTAGAAAACTCATGAGATTTCTAAAATTCTTGCCAAAAAGCTTTTTAAGGTAATAGTATATTTCGCTAGTAGTCACGAGATCGACGAGTATGGGAAACACTATCAAGCCCCGAAATGGGACTTTCGTGACGAGTATTGAACGATACTTTTTATCACGATGAAAAAACTACTTCATCAAAATAAAAAAAATATCTGATATTTTGTAATATAGGCTATTCATTTTTCTAATACAAACAAATGCTATACAATTAATTTTAGTGCAAAATTCAGCTGATTGTAACTTTGTTGATGCCAGGCAAATATTGTTTGAGTAGTGTAAGTAATGTTTATTTCGTGAAAGTAATGTTTATGTCAGGATTAGTCAGCTGATCACCATTTGTTTTTGGTGTATGGAAATTGAAGATTTTTGAAGATCTCAGCTGTATGGAAATGGGCTATTTTCGAATACAGAGTGATGAAAAAGAATTTACAAATAAAAACAGAGATGTGTTCTGTGCAGCCGGTTTATAGATAAATCATATGGTCTTCTAATATTTCTTGAATAACATGAGTTCAGTAATCTTTTCAATTCATTGTCAAATTATTGAACATTCTTTCGTTAAGTAACCAAAACATCTTAAAATACAGATTTAAAAATCGGTTCAATAAAAAAGCCAAACAGCCTTAATCCTTTACTCTCAAGAGAAAAAATAACAGTTTCATATAAATAACAAATATATAAAATAGAATATCAAAACAACAATGAAAATAACATATTCTTTTAAATTTAACAGAAACATTATGCTAGGTCCATATACATTTTTAAAGAGAAAGTTCTGCTCTTAGAAGAAGTATTTTCTACCCTAAATACATAGAAAAAAATACTTCCAATGGGCAACCAACTTAAAACAATGTTAAAACACTTGCGGCACTTTTATTTTTCATTCTATAAATGACACATAAACCACAATCCAACAACTTTTATTTTTAGTTACAACACTTTTTATGTGATTTGTCGTCAGTGTTTCAAAACATATTTATCGTTAGTTGAAACTTCTCAAATACAGAAAATAATGAATAAAAATTCTCATAAATTATGTACCTCAATTATCCAATCCCAACCTTGAGTTTTTATGGTCCAATAACTTTTTATCAAATCCTGCACACTTGCTCGGAAATTAGCTCTTAAAAATATTGCAGAGTTTAGAAAGACAAATGGATGCACCACCTAAAAGTATTCTTCTATATTTGCAGACACGTTATACAATTCTTTAGAAGAAATCACCTTAGACTCAAAATAAATTATAAAATATACATTTTATTTTAATAGAATTCATGAACTATACAATACAAAGACTATATTACAATTCCAAATGTGTATAATATGCAGAATACACTTACACCTGTAGATTTACAATAGACTCATTGATTATAAAACAAAAGTATTTGACAATGGATTAAATTATAACACACCTATGTACAAATTGTAAGTATTATTGGTGAGATAGTAAGCTTATCTGAATGGGAATGAGTCAATTCTGGTACAAGAAATACAAATACAATTACACAATTCATTCACAATAGTTAGCAAGTACTGTAATGATGTTTATATAATGTTTCTTGTGCCAAAATGTCTTTATTCTGACACAACCCTGCCATTCCAACATCAATACTTAAAACCTCGGCTTGTACGCCATACGTTGCATAATTATTAATTAACCTTAAACTATGTACAAACTTGTAGGAACTAACACATTTTCCCGATGGTTTTTAATTTTAGTAAATTTACTAGATTATAAATGACATGTGAGTGTTTGTGAAATCAGTCAATTGATGTACATTTACTTTTTCTTGTAACATTATCAGAGTTTTACTTATTCTTAAAACTCTGTGGGTTTCATACAATTTTAATAACTTGTTTCAACTGGTTATTCACGATAAAATACAAAATAATATTAAAAAGTGATGTGTGTGGAAAAAACAATGTGGACGGTATTCAACATTTGGAATGTGTTGCTAGTGGATAGCATCTTTAGACTTAGGTGCAAGAGGCCATATCCACATATTGGTCAATGCCAAACACTTCACACTAATAAACCAATAAAAATTGTAAGCGTTTGGACTACTTTAATTTTTAAAAGCCACTGGAGTAAAATTAACAACACGATTTGTTTAAACCCCTATATTTGGTAATTTTTGTTCTGTGAAATGAACGTTGTTTTTAAAAAGTGATGTGAATTAGTTAATTTTGAGCTGTATTGTTTTATTGCATGACTGCTGCACATTTTTATCGATTTCATTGAGAATCCCTGACAAAGTTAAACGTAAACTACGTAAAACTTATATTTGTAGCTGGTTTTATTTTTTTGAACACAGCAACACCTGTCTTAAGTTCTCGCTCTTGGAGTGTTATTCAAAAATTGTCCAATCTAAATTAAACATTTTAAAATACAACTAAACCGATCCTGTAGAATGATCCGTTAATAAAATGTCCTAATAAATGCTTTAATCGACAATACTTACATGGTATAGAAAAATTAGATACTGGAGTTTACACTTATATCTTAGCTAACGGATATTTGGTTGTCATTGTCGATGTTGTCCCAAGCATCAAAATCTTCGCCCCAGCCGTCCGCCTCAAGGTCGGTGGAAGGGGCGAACTTATCCGTCACTTTGGCAGCTTCCGTCACATGGACTACTTGAGGTTTAGAGATCACAGGCTCCATGTCACGGAAAATGTCTTCAAATTCGTCCTTAACTTTCGGTTTTATTCTAAGTTCCAAAGAGTCGATTCCGCCTTTTACGTCCTTTTTGTCTTTTGCAGCACTTTGCATTTCTGTGCTTTCACTTTTGCTTTCTTCTTCAGCCATGGTGAGGGTAAAACTTGGTTCTGCTGCAGTGGGGTTGGTCTAAAAATTACATAGATTACAAGGTAAAGTGTGATCAGAAGAGGAAAAAATATGTAACAGTAAACAACACTCTTTGGAAAGATTAAAAAAACAATGAAAATACCTTTGATAATTTTTTTTAGGTTAGAAGCCTATTTTAACCTTACATTTTCCTGTCCTACTAGACTACAGATCTGTGCGTGGAACGTATCCAACAAAGCAAGGAGTGAGCCGTTACAGTACAAGGGCAAACTGTACTGATAAAAAGTAGTGACTAGGATCTGAACCCACGACAACGCTGCCTTGAGCCCGAAGTCCGCGACACTACTGACTGAGCTACCGACAAACCAAAAAGGACTGCTTTGCTTTTCTTAAGAGTAAAGAAAAATTTACACAGTAAGGAAACCATACAAGTATAGCCCTGAGAGTTAGATTAGGAATAATGTAAATTAATTTGATATTAATAAAAAAATGCTTCACACTCAAACATTTAATTTAATTAGTTGATGTTTGGTAGAGTAACCAGTGCTCAATATAATTTAAATATTTACTACATTTTTGGTCTGTAGTTATTACTATTTTACTTGATATTTTGATGACAACCCCATAAAGCTTATGTAGAGTTAATAGCGACCGGCTGTACCCTAGAATAAATTCTGGATCCCACAACAAACATACCTTATAGTCCCAGTCTGGCCAAGTTTCCTCTTCCTCGCTAGGGGAGGGGGTTGGGACGTACTCCCCTCCGTCTGGTGACGGTCTCTCTGGCAGTACTCCCTCAACGGCGCCCTCTTCTGTGAAGAAACAGTACGTTAGACATTAGACATATTAGACTGGCTGGTAGAGCCAGGTTTGAGAACACAATATCTTTGAAGAGTGTGCAGAGTATGTATCATCATGGCAGGAGCCATGAGATCCTGTGCAACTCCAGCCTTAGAGGTAATCTTGGACCTGACACCTTCTATGGTTGGAGGGAAGTGTAGGAGGCTTTACTTAGGATAGAGGAAATAGACATATTATATTCTCTAAAACTGCATTAAAACTCCTTTTAATCAGTCCTTGCGAGACCGGGACCTTGACCGGAACAGTAAGAAGGTATCTGAGGAGCAGTTAAGGATTTTGCCTTGATTCCAGGAAGCGATGATGACATCCCCACGAGTTTAGGATATATGCTCGGTATTTTTCTGCTATCGCAGAAAACATGATTTTTTGATGACTGCAGAGGATAAATTAGTTTTTGCAGTGGTTGCGGGAGATGGTGATGATGTCCACTTAATGGTCATGATATTACTGTAATAACATTGTCACCCCCTGACTGTCGATTGCACAGTTGGATTAAGCGATGAGTCGAACTAGCCAAGGTCGCATTAATGGCACTTGTTATCTTATCAGATAGACAAGCAGCCATAGTTGGGAAAGTTAGTCAAAATTTCTAACTAGTTAGAAGTTAGAAGTTAGTCCCATAAAAAGTAACTGATAGAAGTT